AAAAAAAAAAAAAAAAAAAAAAAAAATGTCAAGTTTCATCGCTACATCAAACATGAATCTGATTGAAAACAAATTAGAGACAAATCGATAGAACAAACTTTGCAATTGCATCCATTGACTGCTTCCTCCTCTGATCGGCTTCAAAGTACACAACCTGAGCAAGTGTTTTATTTTCTTCTTCAATCAACTTGATCCATTCTTAAAAAGCCCGTAACTAACATTACAAATGAGCAACAATACCAGGTTTGGCTGCCATGTAAAAAAATAAAAGGAAAACGCTTTAAAGAAAAGCCAGCATTAACGTTTTGGGCAAGAAAGTTAGTTTTTATTCCCTTCTGAAAAAAACACTGGCCAAACCTTTAAAATTATGTTTTAACTAAATCAAGCAGAAAGGAAAAAGTTAACAAACCCTTTTGCTCCTTTTCGAGTTCGATTCGCCGCTTTTTTAACACTTCCTCAATTCGCAAACTAAATAATTCTTGTTGAGAAAAGTTTAAGAAATTGAAGTAAGAAAACGAGTAAAATACTTACGGTTCTGCTCCCTCAAAATTTTTATGAGGAACGTAGGATTTCAAAGAGTTTTCAATAATTAGAGAAGTGCGCCTCTCCACTGAAAGTTTTGAGAACAAGATTTCACAAAGTGTAGTTACCAAACTGCTACGGAGAAAAATAAGCTGGTTAAAAACTAACTTTCAGATATGTCTTCAAGAACAGATTTCATATCATCGGCTCGTTTAGAAAAAGCTCCCTGTACTAAAGCATCGAGGTTCTCCTGATCCTAAAAGTTAGAAGCTATCAACGACGAATACGAGCTAAAACAAAATTTGCTGCCCACAATCATAGCTTTACCTGAACCATTGCCTTGCGCTGTTCAGCAGAACGCTCGCTTTCCTCTCGATCGCTTGTAAAGATCTGGTTCTTCTGTGCAGACTGATCATCAATCCTGTTTGTTTCCCGTGTCTTCTCTGTCGTTAACTCGCACGGTGGAATGTCTTTTTCAAAACCATCAACTGCCAAACTCTCCTTTACAAGAGAAAGATGTTCCCTCAAAAATGTTTGGATAGCTCCAAGCCCAAGTACGCAAACACCTTAATATTTGTAGTGATTTTAGAATCCAGTGTTAATTGAATGTCAACAGTTTTCAAGCATAAATGTACAGTAAGCAGAAAAATATAAACTAAACCTGCTGGAGGAAATTCCATCTCCTTCTCATCAATCCCAAGCACTTCCAAATTTGCTAAAGAAGAAAGTGTCTTTGGAAGGTGGCGTATTCGATTTGACGAGACATCTAGTTTACGCAGCAAAATAAGTGACGAGATCGATGCAGGTAGTTCATTAATTTGATTTTCTAAATCTTTACAGTAAAAGATAAAGTACTTAGAAAAATTTTAGCACCCAAGTGACTAATCGCCTGATATAAAATTTCTCAAAATTTTTTAAAATTTCAAAGAGATAGACTGTAACAAAACATCTATGAACCTCCTAAATTTAGTTCCTCAAGCTGAATAAGTTCACAGATTGCTTCCGGAAGCCGAGTTATGCGATTATTTGAGAGGTTTAGTGTGACTAGCGATTGAACCGCTAAAAGTCCGCAAGGAAACTCCCTAAAACCTCATCAGGCAGAAAAGGAAGGAAAATTTGCATAAAGATAATGAAAAAGAAAAGGAATCAAGTAGGAATTTAAAAATATTATTTTACTATAGGTTTAGGCCCCTATTCATGCATAAATGAAATTAGACTACTAAAAAATAAATTACTTCAGTAGATTAGAGCTAGCATTGAGATGTTTTAAAATCCCATTCAGCTTTGTTAAATCACTTTCCGAATCTTTTATCTTCAGCGAACTCAACCGGTTTTTGCTGATATTGATAATCTAAAGTAAAAAAGTAAGAGTAGACGACTTAATTACTCTATTCTGACCCAAGTAATTAAGAAGTAACGGATACTAATTAATACACTTATTTCTCAGGGTAGGAACGAATTATTTAAACAGCAGTAACCTAAGAAACCTGTTGATAATTCATTATGAATAAGTCGACCACATAAAATACTCTTCAAAAAGAGACTATAAGTGGAACAGTGTGTCTTCGTTGAAGAGATTACTGGGGAGTAAAGCCTAAGACAAAAAAAAGTTGTAAAAATGTTAACCTCTTTACGGAATATTCTGCAAAGGTTATAAAATTCGCTCGGAAGGGCGTTGAGTGCGCATTCGCTAAGGTCAGCAATGTCATCTTCGGATACTCTTATCTAAAAAAAAAATGGCTGCTTACATAAAGGACGAAAAACCAATTTTAAACAAAGATGAACTATTGACCTTTCGTAAACAAAAGAGAGGTGCCAACGACAAACTTTCCAATTACCTGAATGCCCAAAAAAAAG